GTAAGAGCAGCATACTGAGAACCCTAATGAAACCATTGGAAGAATCCTCATGGTTTCCAAGCTGTGGTTTAAAACAAACTAATTTATGAAGATCTACCTGTGTGACAGTATTGAACTAACTTGGAAAACAGTTTTAAACCATTCCCTTGAAGGGAAGGCACTGCTCTGCAGAAGTCTAAAAACATGTTATAAGATTCCCACCCCGAGAGGTGCATTTCCCCACAAAACCGTGTTTATAATTCCCAGATAATTTAAAAAAAAAAAAAAAAAGAATTTATTTATTTATTTCATCCCAAAATTGAACATCCTCAGGGCATTGGCCTTAATGGGGGAAAAAAAGTGAGTTTTGAAAAGCAGGTTTTTTCTTGCGTTATACTTGTAAATACTTTTGGGAAAGGATTAATGTAATAATTATTTACTGGTGTATTCCTGCAGAAATCAACAAATCTTTCCCCATTGCATATCAGCAAAATACATTTTTAATACAGCTCTAAAATGTAGCATCTCTTGATGCCATCTCAGGCTCGCAGACCTATTGGCATCTCTCACTTTTGGCTTCTGCTGCCGGCACTCCCTCAGTGCGTGGCTTTGCTGAGCTGTGTTCAGGCATCGCTCTTTCCTCTTGTCTCCCCTACCTGTTTCCTTCAGGCAACAATGTCTTAACATGCTCAGGTGGTTTTCCCTGCCTTCCTGGGCTGATGACGTTTCTTCCTGAGTTTCAGATGGGATCTTTGCTCAGTGATAACTCTTTGGTATTAAGTAAAATATTGATTGCATAACATAAAGAAGGAGCTCTTCAAGAATCCATTCCTTAAGAATGTGGCTGGAACTTAAGATAAACTATTTTCTTTTTAAAAAAGTAATAAAGAAAATAGATGGTAACCATTTTTTGGGAGATCCAAACCCAACATAGTAAGCTATCTGTAGCATTCACTTTTTCTGCTCAGGGGAGTTTTTAAGGCTGAAAAGCTATGTTATTTTTTTGTTTTTATACCTCTCTGGAGCTTTACTTCATCATCCATCCCCTATATATAATGCTAGCTGGCAAGTCTGCCTCATTGACTACTGTAGCGCTGACTACCGTGCTGTTCTGAGACAAGTGGACCAAGATCAGCTCTGCTGGAAAGCACTAAATGAAATACCTTTCTTTGAATGTAATCTTCTGTAATGCCTTCTTGATTCGGAGAAGGTCTGAGTGATTTACTTCACCAGCATTTTAGGAAGCTACTCCGTGGAAGCAACAGGGAAAACAGCAAAAGAGAACTTCTGATTCAGCACACAAAATGTTACTGAAGTCCTTTTCCAAGGCACTTGGAAGACTGAGCCCCAAAACACTGCATACAGAGATTCACAAACAAGTCAGTTGTGAATATGGAGGCAGAACCTAAACTTTATTGCAAATTCTGTCTTGTTCTGTTATCATACGTATTCCAGTGTTCATCTCTCTAATGGGTGCTTCCAGTCAGAAAGTCAGTGGCCCTTCCCTTGGTGGTATTTTTGTTCTTTGAACAGTGAGCAGTAAGGGGTTTTTGAGTGTCCCAACTCCAAGCACTTAAACACACTTACTCTGCTTTTGTGCCAAGTGGCATTTTGGAAAGCATTAAGTTAAGGAGTCTGCCACAATAATTTTTGTTCCCTCTTTGAGTGTTCTGTAGGATACATTACTTTGGATGTATTACTGTACTGATTTTGGTATTCTGCCATTCTCAGTGCTTTCTTCTGGGTTTTTCTGATGAAGCCATTGCTCATTTGGACGTGTGCATTCAGAGGGGAATCAGTTGCAAGATCTGCACACTCAGAGACCACTTTCCTATTGCCCACCCTCCAGTGCCAGATGGAAATGGTTCCCAGACACGCATGTAGAGAAAATCAGGGAGTGGAAGTCCCCCAGTTGCTGAATCCTTTTGCTGGAGTCTCCCCACTCCAAGAAAAAGGGAGCTCCAGTAACTTCTACTACTGCATTAGGAAGAAACATTGCAAGTTTTATCTTCAAAGACAATTGTTCAAAGCTGATCCTTGTATATTAAATTAAAGAAGAGCTGAAAAAACTCCCAATACAGTGATTATCACAATTAACCACCTGTGTCTGAGGATTAATGTGGCCATGGTTACTAGTCCTAGATGAACTAATATGAACAGAAGAGAAGCAAAGTGGTTGTGACGAAACCAAGCCATTTTTCACTGCCTGTTTTTGTGCATGGCCTTCCCAGGTCACTGAGCACATTGGTCACAGGTTACACAGCCTTCAGCCATGCTTGGAGATGGGGGCAGGCAGTGGGCTCTCGCTCTGTGCTCAGGCCCCAGGCTGAGATCCAGCAGCAGCTCTCACCTTTCTGACTCACTGCCTGCCCAACCAAAACCATTCTCTGGTTGCAGGCATTCAATTTGAGCTGTCTTGGCCTGATTTTTGAGGAACTTGGAGTTCCCATAACTCATGTCAAAGCCACGGGAATTCCTGACCTGCATCATGAGACCCAGTGTGCACAGCAAAAGATAACATTGATGGCCAGCCATGCTGCAGGTGTGCTCTCCCTTCAGCAAAGCATCTAAACAGAAAATAGCCTGCTAAGCACAAAGAGAAATACTTTTTTTGGCTTCATCTGCTTTCTGCATCTTGGCATCTACTGTTACTTGCAGTTTGATGTGGCATGACATGCAAATATTTCCGGAGTTACTTTCTAAAATATGTGAGGATGCATTCTTCACCTGCTTGATATCTTCAGGGGAATTCAGACAGGTGAATATATTTGTTTTCACAGGTTGCAGGCTGTAGCTAAACGTGGGAGCTTCCAGACACTGCTGAATGTTTCACATAGGCTTTGAATTTGCAATTTAGAGCCAGTGCAGCATCTGACTGGGACAACTGCAGAGCTGAGAACACAGTGTATAGGAAGCCCTGTGCTGTTTTTATTTCTCATTTATCAAACATCTCATTTATCAAACACACCTTGTTGAGCTAATTCAGTCGTGCCTTTTTCACTTCTGTCTCCACACCAACATAACAGGAAATGAAATTGGAGGAAGAAGCTGTGGATCAGTTGAAGGCTGGGATCAGTGTGCTGGACTCCTGATGCATGCCCAGTGCCTGCAGGGTGCTTGAGCAGCCTTGCTCCTGCTGTGTCCCCTCCGTGTGTGGGAAGAGGCCCACCTCTGAGCAGATCTCATGCTTTTAACGAGAAGAAAGGAAAAGAAGACACTATTGTGTGGAACACAATTTGACAGTTATTTTTAGCCAAGTCATCCACAGCTCCTTTCTGGAATTAAAACCATCAGATATTCAGTAACAAAAACTGTGGGTGTATTGAGCTGCCTTTACTCCTGGGATTTCATCAAAGGCTAAATCAAGTCACATCTTTATTGTTCATGCTAGTGACATAATCTAAGCACTGTTTTATTTGTCTCTCAGAAAATGAAGCAAGCTTTAAAACCATGGCCAAACCAGTTCTGTCTGATGTCCCACACCTCTGGAGGAAGCAGCATTTGAGAAAGACTTGCTGTCTGCAGGGACAGAGGATCTCCTGGCCACCAGCTGATAGTGTTTTAAAGGTCTAACTTAGCACTCTGCTTCCCTGCAGCCCATGTGAGCCCTCACCAACCATTTCCTGTGGTTTTGTGTGGAAGTTGTTTCTCTGGAGCTCATTCTGTCGAAAATTTTTATTATACAAAATTCACCACCAAAGTTGGTCTCTGCATCACCTGGGACCTGAATGCAGATTTCAGTTTTATCTACAGAGTTGCCAGAGCCTTTTATATTTTAATAAGTTTTGGGTGTCCCAAGAGAGTGCTAGACAGTGGAAATCATACTGCACTTGTCAAACTTGGTGCTGTGCTTTTTGTGAAAATCCCCAAAAGTGAGGCAAAGAGCTCCAAATTGTCTACTGAACTTGTCTTCTCTTCCGTTTGGTATGAGTGTTATGTGAGTCACTCAGCTTGAAGAGTGCTCTGAAAGGGAAAATTGATTATTAAATACAGAACCATAATGAATCACACTTGCTTGAAAATTTTCTTTTTGTGCTCTACTACCCATGCCATCAGTTATTGGAAACAAATCCCTGCTGCATGTGGAAATTTAAAATAGCTAGGTTAGAGACAAATGGCACGAATGCCCTATTGATTTTGTAAGTAGGAAGCAAAGATGAGTTTTCAATGACAAAATATTAGCTGTTGTGGATCTCTGGGGAATTTTCATGAGGTTACTGCCTCTAATTACAACATTGTTTTCCAGTTACCTCTGTTCCAAGAAGCACCTTGCTACTTCTTGTGTGCAAAGAGATTGGAATCTTAGAGACTCTTAAAATAGATGTGCTATATATGGAAGCTGTCAAGGTTAGGATAGAGATGTCAGGAACAGAACATTTCTCCAGAATTTAAAACAAACAAACAATGAAAAAACGTGTCTGAAAGATTCATTACATGTACTTTACAACCATACTTTCTGATTATTTTTTTTTCTTTTCTGAGACAGTGTTTTAATGCATAAAAGATGATGATCCTCATCTTTGTGCGCATATGGATGCAACACACAAGTCAGGGTGGAAGATGCACACTGCTGTGTCTGTAGAGTTAGTGCTCATATAGAATTCTGCCCGGCACAAAAGGAGGCTGCAGGGCAGCAGGTGTTCTGTTCATGTGCCTCTCCTTTTAGCATGGGAACACCTACTCTGAGAGTCCCTGAATAATAGGAAGCCAGGGGTTATTTTGGCTTTTGTGGAAGGCCAGTAGCTGGTTGTGAAAACTCTTGGCACGATTTGTCTCTCCAGAGTGGATTAGCCTTTGTTATCTACAGCATTTAAATTAGTCACTGTGGCAAACTTTTAGTTAAGGGTGCTCTTAGGCAGCTAATGAACCAAAAGCAAAGAGCCAATGCAGCTGGTTCTTCCCTGGGCGTTGCTACAGGAGAGGACAAAACTTAGGCTGTGAGAGAACTGTGCTAATCCATTAATTGTCTTAAATGACTCCAGTTAATGAGGTTTAGTTAATTGGCTTTTGTTTTAATACAGCTTTGAGAGGCTAAAGAACATAGATCTGTGTAACGCCTCAGAAGGAGGGACAGTTAAGGTAAACAGGTAAGTCTGACTTCACAAACAAAAACTGGATATAACCATATCATTTCTGTTATACCAGTGGTAGTTGATGTCTAGAGAAATTTTGAAGTGCAGTGTGAATTTGTTTGAATACTTTGTGGTTGGAGTGGAACACCACGAGCTGCCCATGGAGGTGTGCAGAGCCAAAGACACCGTGTAACATTGCGTGTTGAAGGAAATACCCCTTCACAAATCTGAGAGCATTCTTCCACATGCAGTACATCACTTACATAGCAATTAGGACCAGGACTCTTACGCTTTTTGAAATGTTAAAATATGCAGGGGAGGCGTTGGCAGTGTTTCAGATCAGCTGACAAGGAAACTAATTTTAGAAGAATAAAGGTTGAAAATGTTGCAAGAGAATTTAGCTAAGAACCGATGAACAACCAGATGTTACATGCACACATCTCTAAAAATCCAAATATCAGTACTTTTGCACAACATATCATTCTTCATCCTTCGTGTTTCATTCTTAATTGGTCCAGTTCTTCCCCCCATTCCTGCATTATTAGTAGCAGCAGCTTGCTTTTAGCAGCAGGGCACTGTGCTGGCCATAAAGAAATGCATGGCACAGTTTAATCCCTGGCAGATGAGGGCTGTAAGGTCCCAGGAAATGTTTTCTCCCTCATTTTTCTTTTACTTAAATGTAAATGCTGGGGTTGATTGGTGGTGGCAGTTTTTTTAAACAGAGTTTTTTTGCTGCCAATAATTAGCAAATCTGGGTATTCAGTCACCGTGCTCTACAATTAACAGGAGCTGTGTAATTACCTCATGTCACCACTGCATTGTGAATGCAGGAGGAAATGTCCCCCATCCTTTGGCAGGGAAAGCAAATGTAGCAGCTACTTTGCATGACAGTGGCTGCTCCTGTGAAGGAAAGTTGATCTTTTTTTCTTTTTACTTTGTTCTTCCCAAAGGTAAAAAGGTCATGGTCTTAGACAAATGGAACAGCAAAGTACTGTGATGGAGCCTGCCTATCCTATGTTGATTTTAGTATTTAAATTCATACCAGAGAATGGTTTTGGGGGGTCGGTATATTGGGTCCTGTATCTGTGCGTAGCCTGGGGGAAAGTGCATCAACTATTATTAGCAGCTGCTGAAGCACTGATGCACCCTGTGGCACTGATGTACTGTGATGTGCTGGGCTCTGGGCTGTGGCCGAGCAGCGATTGCTGCTGCTCCTCCATGGGAGTAGGAAATTCTGGGAAGATACATGAATGGTGACAGCAAGCTTGTGACAAGGCTCTGGGTATATTTAATACTGTAGAATAACTTGTTGACAGTACTGCTTCCCAAAATGACCAAAGCTGTTAGCATTGACAGCGTGGTTTCTCTCCAATGAAAGATACCTCTGATCACAAACCAGAAATAGCTTTTGTTTACACTCGTGTTACATCTGTAATTTCTCATGTGCATTTTTTGCTTTTGCTGTTCTTGACTCTTCTACCCTTCTTTCTACACGCTATTCAGAGTCCATTCGTTATCTGAAGTAATAGATACCTTTTGGCAAAGCACCATTTATTCTCACCTGGGCTGTGGTCCAGCATTCCCAGAGCGATAGATCACTGGCCATGAGATGAGGCTCCAGATGTCTGAATGTGACTCCTGTTCAGCCTCATGCCTTTAGGACAAGTGTGGGTGGTTGAACAGAGTGAGTGGCATCTGGATTTCCTCGTGCACAGCACAGAGGTACGGATTGTTCCTGCCTGGAATGGCCACATGTCTGTTTCTGAGTGTCAAAAGTTGTCAAGATTTGAAAACAGACCGACAAAAAAGGTCTTAAAGAGGGAAGTTGCATAGAATTTACGACAACTCAAGTAAAAATAGTCCTCAATTCACCAGATTCTTAAACTTTTGAATGTTCACTTTCTTCAGTCTGAAGAAGTGGGGAAAAAAAAAATGCAATCTTTGTAGCTTTCCCAGGGAAAACCCTGATAAATGGTAAAGGTTTTGTTTGGTTTTTCTTGTCTGTGGTTTTAGGTTAGGGGTTGTTTTTGTAATTTTGTTCTTAAGGCAGTATCCCATGCTAACTTTAAATCTGATGTGGTTTGTAGCTGTGTTGAACTGGAGGCCTTCACAGTATGGAATGCATAATTCTGTGTGACCTTAGCATGGTTTCCCATATTGCCGAAATTCTTCTGAGATTCAGCTTGAGCCTTCAAAAAGGTTATGTATAAATAGTTCAGTTAGTGCAGAGCATGCAGCGTTTCCTACTGAGAGAGGAGGATTTTATACAGGCATTAAAATAACTGAAGTCTATGTCACTCTTTACTAACACTTGGGTAGATCAGCTCTGCTCTGCTGTGACAGCTCTGGACTGGGGACTCCATTAATCCACATGGGGCCACTGTGAAATAAGCTGGCCACCATGAACGGCAGCTGGAGGGGAGTGTTGTAGTGAAAAGCAGCTGAGCTGAAGTGCCCCAGGCCTTCAACAACAGCATCTTCTTAGCTTGTCATCCTGGCACTGGCAGTGGCATTAGGAATTCTCATTGTTTTGCATACTAAGCAAATTCTGTGGAGGGGGAGAACAGTGAAATTTCTTAGTGACGTGGAAATTGTAGCCATGATGACGTAAGGACAGCAGTGCACAATAAGGGCTCTGTGACTGTAAGCTTCTCTGTTTCTCCTGATTATTCGTGCTCATAAACGTTGCTACTGTACTGAGAAACTGTGTCTCACCAAAGAGCATGGAGATTCCAGCACAAAAAGAGCTGTGATTTCATGCATATTTCAATATATTTGGATTTTTTTTCGGCTTGATCTTTAATTCTGAGTCTACAGTGCATCTTCTTATTTCTTCTAAGTCATTGGTGTTTATTTAACTCGTTCAGAATATAACATTCTGTCTAGGTGATGATTTTTCCTCTTAAGTACAACGAATGATGAAGTCTTTGCTTTGCTTTGGCTGTTTGTGTGTATGATTTGTTGTAACACTGCTATTAATTGTTTATTAGCACTCTTCAGGGCAAACAAACTGGTCTCAAATACAGAAGTAGGTAACAGCATTGCCATTTTTTGTCCTTCTGGGAATAGCCAGTAGTTTGCAATGCTCCCACCCCTAAGGAGATGGCATCAGCTTTAAGAACATTTCAGTCTCCTCTTTTATCAGCCTCAACAGCCTGCTGCTTGAGTGCTTTATTAGCCTGCCTGCCAGGAATTGAATTGGGTCTAAATTCATCTGTGTGAGCGTGCACAGTTAACAATGACATAATAATCCTTCCCTAGATGTTATACAGAAGGATGGAATGATTTGTCAGTGTCATGCAGGCAATGCTGGAAATGTAAAGAGTGCCTTATTCTGAATGAGTCAAGCATGATTAAAATGAAAGCAATAAAGAGATGGGAAGAAAGGCAGGGGGCTTATTTTTATGGCCAGGAGCCTCTCATGAGCAGGCATGCTTAGTTTGTTTAGACAGTGTTTATAGGTCATGCTGGTTTTCTTTACAGAAACACAGGCCCTACTGTATTCCATCATCTCCACTAACACACCTAAAATAAATCATTCATCATCAAAAGCCAATGGAAATTGGGATTTAACCATAGATTCAAATGAGTTGACAGTGAAGGCACATCAGGCGTTTGTTAAATATAGGCAAGGTTTTCTTTCTGGATACTAGCTATATGCCTTTTTGATGCTACCAAGTTGCAGATGAAAGCTGTTAATCCATGCTGAGTAAGTGTGCCATCTTCCCTTCCTGGACACAAACAATTGGCCATAGGATGCATGTTATGAATTCCTAAGGAAAGACAGCCACCTGTGGTGTTCTCCTTGGCTCCTTTGTTCTGCAGTCATCATTTCAGCTCTTGCTTCTCAGAAAATTCTCAGGCTCTTCATTCCTGCTATTTCATTATGGGGAAATAGAGATAAAAAAAACCTGCTATGCAAATTTAGATAGATGGACATTTAGCCTTATCTGATGGTATCCAGTTTACAGCAACACATTGGAGGAGGTCTGGGTTCAATGTAGGTGCAGGAAGGGATGTAGAAATTAGGTAGCTAACACAGATAGTGATTTCTTCAGTGTCAGAATACTGTATATGAAAAAATATTCTTTTTCTCTTTTTTTAATAAAGATGCACATAAGATAACCTCAAAAGTGAATTGATTTTTACTTCAGTGATTAACATTGCAATAACTAGAACTTGATATATTTCCATTAAAATGATGACTAGATTCTCACTGACTTCAGCATTAAAAAAGTCTGACCACAAATCCTCCAGTGCTTAGTTTTACTGTTTTGGAAATGTGTTTTATATTAGAAAGTGTTTGCTTTGGTTAATAGTATTTACAGAGACAGAGGAATGAGGAAACTGGTTAATAATTGGCAGAAGTTGATAGTTTCCGTAATGGAACAGAAGATTCTTTTATTAATCAGTGGGAAGAACAGTAAAAGGATTAGAGATACAGGGAAGATAGGAGGCTCTTGTAATTGCGTGTAACTGTAGCAAATGAACAGAGCTGGTCTGGTGAGCAGGGAGTCTGGGCTGTGCAGTCTGAGAGCATCCAGTTTGCACCTGCTCACCTTGCCAGCTCCCAGAATTAAGCTGTAAAAGGGAGCAACTGCAGCAGTGTGAATGGATGCCCCTGTACAGTAAGCAAAGTAAAGCAGCAGTACTGGTGCAAGCAAAAGATAAATAAAATCCTGTCTCCATTCAGATCTGATTGATGTCTATAAATCAGTATAAATCGCTTGCAGCAGATGTGGTGACAGACAAAAACTACCAGCGTTCTACTCACTTCGCTCTACTGATGAGCACCTTGGAGTTTAATTTGTGGGGAAGGCTTTTCCAAACGTGGATGCATTTCTCAAAGTGATTTTTATTGATGACAGTTGGTAATGATAAGTGAGTATGTTGTCACTGCTTAAGCTATTTTATTCTCTCTGCAACATTTCTTAGTGAAAGAGGTGATAGAAACTTAAAGCAAATATCCAATATCTATATTCATTGCTACCTTTGTGGAATCTTCTGTAACGTGACAGGTGTAGGTGGCTTCACAGCTTTGGTAAATTTTTGAGGGTTTTGTATTTAATACTCTTGGAAATCAAATTTCTTCCAAAGTACTCTTTCCAGTTTAACTGGAAATATTCCAGTATTCCACGAGCCTATGGCATAGGAACAGAAGTGAAATCCCCTCTGTAAGGACTCCTGCTGCTCAGCTCTCCACATTACTGCAGGGTATGCACAGCCATGCTCCTCACAGGGCACTGTCTCCTGGGAATGTCTTGACTTAAGCAGAAGAAACAATTTCACTGGCTGTCTGAAATATCCCTGGGGACACTGACTATGTCTCTGCTTTACATTTGCATTCCAGAATGAGCAATGTTTCTTCCAAAGGACTCGTGGGTCATTTGTAGATGCTGAAGCTATTTTGGTGTTTCTCTTCCTCCTCTTTCTTTATGGATGTTGGGACTGGGATAAGCAGGGACTGCTATTTCAAAGCCGATTTGTATCAGGCCTTAAAAAAAATAATAAGTGGGAACAGGAAAAAAAGCAACGAGATGTATGAAAATCCCAACTGTTGAGCCAGAGCTGGTATAAATCGGTATAGCTGCATGGCACATGTTAAGATTGGGAACGTTGTGCAGATCTACTCCAGCCAACAATGTAGCACCATTCTCATCTGTGAAAGAAAAGCTAGATGGAATTAAAACCCACAGACTAGACCTTTGCTGTGTGCTTAGTGCTATTCCTGTGAAGCACAACATGATACATTTTAATAATTTATGGCATCTTCAAGGAAAAGGAAAAAAAACAACCCTAAAACCAGTACATAGCTGAAATCCAGGCAAAGCAGCTGATTTGCAGGGTTTCAATCACTTTTAGAAAACAATTTTCTATTTTACTGGTCATGGAAAATTAATTGTGTGTTTGATGATTTGTATCATGCTGTTGCTGTCTTCTCATTTTTTGGCTCCGTTTTCATTGATTTCAGCAAGTGTCATTTCTGAAGGGAACAGAATGAGCTGGGGGCCTCCTGCCCACATATCCAACTCTGTCATCATCGTTTTTAAATGCCTGTTCAGTAATCTGCTCGAAGCCTTTAAACTTACCTGCTTACTGTTGTTTGTTCTCTCCTCAGTCACAGATGCAAGGGTGTTTTGCCTGCACACACACGCACACGCGTACAAATATGTATATATGAATGTACACATGGGAGTATATGAGAAGTACTTCAGGATTGGTTAAGGGTAAGACTAAGTGAGGTTTTTCACAGATGGTGCTCTAACCTCCTGTGTAGTTTAATGGACAGCACTTTCATTCATAGAAGATGGAAGTGATGAACTGATGGGTAGTTGAAAAGTTTTCTTAATACATCTGGGATTTAGCAAAAGAACTCTAATGCTCTCTAGCAGCTTCTGTAAGAGTATCCTAAAACTAATAAAAGATTATGTTATTTTCTTAAACCCATTGGGATTTTCCATGAGGGGCTGAGCAAGACTACGTGATGATTCTCTCAGCAGCTTCCAAAATGACTTAAAAAGTTGCTTGAATTTCCAGGAACGCGTACAAATGGATTTGTTATTCCTTGCAGCTCGTTGGGCTTTGCTTCTGCCTTGGATTTCAGATTATCTGTATAGTTATCCTGGGTTGGTTTGTTTGTCAGTTGCTTTTGTTTGTTAGTTTTGATGGTGGTGCTGGTGGTTTTTTTCATAATTGTATCAAAAGATCTGCTAGGTCTTTTCATAACCTGTTTTATGCACTTATGCACTATAGCTGTACCATTTGAGTGGTCCACAAATATTAATGCAGAGGAATGGGTTAGGGAAATGCTGTTATCTCCTATTTTCCAAGCAAGATCATGAAAGCAAATGGAGGCAATGAAAAGTAAGAGGTTTTAAAAAATCTGTCTTGGTGGTTTCACCAGGATCATGCAGGGTGTTGAAACAAGGTTGAAGGCAGCACACTGATGCCAACCTTGGCATGGATCTCTTCCATGCATGGTGGGGAATCCTGCAGTCCGTGGCAGTGGAACGCTGACAGGGATGGCAAAAACCCATCTGTGTGTGCAACTGTTTCACACTGCCTTCTGATTGACTCTGCAGTGAAAAGAAAACTCAGCATGTGGCAGTCTAATGTTCAGCTTTGCTGTGTTGGGCTGATGAAACAGGATGTTCTTTAAACCTTTTTGTCAGAATTAAACTCATAACTTAATTGGAGTGGGAGAACAGCTGGGAGGAGGAGGAGACACAAAAGGAGAGCATGTCCTGCTCTTGTACTCATGGTTTCCTCTCTTTTTCTTTTTCAGTGAGTATGTTTTTGAACACGTTAACCCCCAAGTTCTATGTTGCCCTGACGGGCACTTCCTCATTAATCTCGGGACTTATTTTGGTAAGTACTGGATATATTAATACTCCTTTATCAATGTATTTTATTATCCAGAATGGGATGTTAGACTTTGTGGGTGTCATTAGTTTTTTTTTAGACCTTTAATGGGTGCCATATTTTTTTTCTAATCTAACATTTCTGCAGTGCATACATTTAGCACTATTTCTGTGGGGAAAATAAAAGGAGAAAATACTTCATCACAATATGCCTTAGGAGAAAAAAAAGCTTGAAGGACACTGTGTCCCACTAACAAACAACCCTGTAATAAATCAGAACAAGTGCTTATGCATTAAGCCTTTTTGTTGACAGGTACTACAGAAATAAAGAGAGTGGTGATAAGAGGAATGGGAGAGGCACCATCTCTCTCGGCTTAGCCTGCTCCTTTTAGAAAGCTAAGGCAGGATTTACTAGAGGAAAAGCAAACAGAATGGTAGCAATGAACCTACTTTTAGGGCAAAAATTCAAAGGGATGATTATTTTAGATCTTTACTATTATAATCTTTCTCAATTTATGTCTGCCTATTTGTTTAAAGGTCTAATGAATGTTTTCAAACCCCTTAAAAAAAACCTTCTCCAGAATATAATACCTGAGAGCTTCAGCACACATAGCACAGGAGTACAAAACAAAGCATTTTCTCTGGATTTTGCTCAATATTTTCAGAGAAACAAACTGAAATTAAAAATAATCTTAACAATCCCTAAGGTGTACTTAGGATATTGTCCTTATATTGGGCCTGGATACTGAGTGCTGCCTTTTAACTGACAGAAGGGAGTGTCGTCTTTGCTTTATTTTACTTTGTTCTATCAGCCTTAGGTCCTGTGTCTAAAACCAAGTGCATGCTTTTAAAAACTGCTGGATGAAAGCTGTAGACCTTCCCTCCCCGTACCAAACTAGGCTCTTAATTGTAAGACCAGAAGGCCAGTTTTAGGTGTTTAGTTACTGTGGTGGTAAACGGAAGAAGGGAAACATCACCAGGAGCTGGTTAGCATCACTGTGTATCTGCTGACCTCAAACGATTTCTCACTTACTTCCACGTTATTTATTGTAGATGTAGACAGAGAAATGCCATCCTTGATTCCTAAATGCCAGTGAGACTCATCACTTATTTGATTTCATGTATAAAGCATCAGGTGCACTGCTGCTCTGCCTTGCTCTGGGACTTATTTGTAGCAGAAGGCAATTACTTAATGTTTGTACCTTGGGCATTCATCAAGATTATATAGATTGAACCCCAAAGCACAGGACAGAGCTCTGGAGACATCAGTTGTTTTAGAATGCGAACACTGAGGCTCAGGAGGCAGGCCTATAAGACTTGGGTTCTGTTCAGTGCAGTTCACTTACTCATATGCACAGCAAGAGGATACTGAATGTAAAATTCAGTAATCTCAGTAATCTCACCCAGAAGAAAGAAGGATTCAAGAGGCCAGGTCCCAGCAACAAGATGCTGAGGAATGAGGGAAGTACGTGGGTTCCACAGGCACAATTCCGTACTTGCTGTTGGATGGTGAAGGCAGCTGGAGGAGTCAGCAAGAAAAAAAGAGCCTGTGTCTGTGGAGATCAAGAATCAAACAGGAGCTAAGACCATAGAGAAAGACTAAATTCTCTGTAATGAAATTCCCTGAGTATAGCATGATTACAGGTGTAGTACACTTTGTGCTGTGGTCATGAAGGCAACCTCTGAAGAAGGAGCTCAGTAAGAGACTTGTGAGCAAGAAATTTCTAAGTGCGATACTTTGATGGAAAGTACAAGAAGCAGGTAGGATGCAGTGATGATATGATGAAGGGGGAAAAGGGCATCTATAGAAGAGATGAAATTGAGTGATCCCTAGCCAGAAAAATTCAGTAAGTGGTGTATGGCAAAGTTCTTTATGAGTAAATTAAAGGAGCAGTGAAGTGATAGACGTGTAGACAAAGACTTAAAGAAAACTAAAAGCCTGTTCTGTGCTGAAAGCCTTTTTCTTGGGGCTTTGCTACTACTGTCAGTTTTTGTCTGATGCTTATATGCCACCATCCTGTACGTGCAAAAGATAAACAGGCCAGGTAGCTGACAGCCAGTAATCAGACTGTAGGGACCAGTGTCTGTGCTGAGGGGAACGTATGGTCTGTAAATTCAGTGCTGGAAACAGAACTCAACTGAGATGGTCATGGAAAGAAGAAACTGCAACTTGAATAGCCCAGGCATCAGGAAGGACAGCTGGGTAGATGCTGGAATGGTAGTGCTAGCTAGTCACTAGCCCAGTTATGCTTCAGATTTATTACTTCTTCATAATCTTGCTGTTTAGCAATGGCCTTGTAACAGACTGAATTGCCCACAGTACCACCACCCACTTATCTGTCACACAACGCAGCATCTGCAGTTCTAAAGATTCGTAGTCCTGCTGATAGTATAAAATGAAACCCTTCATAAAATAAACATTCTCTTCACAAATCTACATTGCTAGGTTATCTGTCAGACTACATGTTCTAATATTCCTTGGAATTTTCCACCATATGGGCTGGCTGATTTCTTTCCATTATTGGTTGGCTACAGTTCCTAATCAGAAAGAGAAATCACAGCTCTGCAGGTTCTGAAATGATGGAAAATTCCATCATTTCAGAAGTGTGGCAACTGATGGGAAAGTGAATGCTTTTCCTATTCCATGTTTGGATCATGAAACAATGACTCTACAGAGTTCAGTTTGGGGAATTGCATGCTACGTGACTCCTTTGAAAAACACTCCTCTCCTGTCTTATTTTGTCTCTTACTTTGTTTTCATTGTTTAGGTAAAAATCTGGCCTAACTGTAAGCAAAGTGATATGGTGCAGGAATTTCAGATCTCTTGTCTTTTCTGGATAGCACAGAACAATAGCACAGAAGTCTTTTCTATTTCAACTCTCTTCCATAATAATTACTTTAGAGCACGTAGCTTAAAATGAACAACTTAGCAGATATTTAATTCATCCCTGCACTGTTTTAGATGTTAAAAATAGAAATCAAATTAGGTCCCAAGCTGCAGTTTAAAATATTGCATTAGAAACTTGATTCCACCACAGTTACTTCCAAATTAGTAAAAACTAATTCTGACTCACAGAATACAACGTAGCTGTATTATACCTGGTGTCTTAAGAAAAGCTGAAGTTTTTCACAGGTAGGGCAGCATGAAACACAACTGTTGTCCAGCAAATGCTGCAAGCTGGCACTGTGTTTCTGCATGCCACTGAGGTTTCCCAAGAAGGCTGCATATGTAACGTGTTGGCACTGGAGTGAAAGCTGTGTAGCAAAATAATGGTGGCACTTGCATTGCAAACTGATAGTCTCAGTTCTGACGAATCACAGCAGCAATGAATCTCAGTCTTGAATGTCAACCAAGAATGCTTTGTTTTTCTACTCCAGGGATAAATAACCTTTTTCTGCTACACAGTGAGAAACATTCTGCAATAAACTCAACAAATACCAGGTTTTTTGGAGATAAGAATTAGCAAGGCAGTCAGCACAGGGGTAGAGCATGATGCTGAGGCTATACTACCTAGTCTTGAGCAGCTGGGCTGTCTGCTGCAGCCCAAGTGCAGGCACAGTCTATGTGAGTCCCTATCGCAGGTGTGCTAGTGAAGGATGTCTCAAAGAGGACCTAAATAATGCAGAAAGAACCTGTCTTTTATATATATATATATTTTAGATATTAAACATTCTTCTGCTTGTTTCATTGCCTTTGTGTAGTCTGCTGCAGAGAGGCAGAGGTGACTGAGTTCTGGGCATTCCCAGTAATTCCTGAAAGTCTGACAATTGTACAAGGACAGTCTTTGGCAGTTGAAAACTGGCACGTGGTAGTTGTTCTAAGTTTCTGACTTGCTCAGTGGATGCTGACAGGTCAAGAAGGGCAATTTGTCCATGGGAGAGAGTGCCTAAGAAACTGAAAGTGTTTGCCAGCACATGAGACAGGAAAAGTCTGTAGGAGTACAGTCTATACCTCAGTCTACAGACAAGTAAGTGGAGCCTACCCAGTGCTGAGAGAAATATTACACATAGGCCATATATTTCCAGAGGTGGGTAAAATATAAGTACAGAGGTATTTTGAATAAGCTGGTTGTTAGCAATGTATGTATCTACTCTTTAAGGAATCCCAGAACCAGCAGCAGAGGTTAAGAAGATGCTCAACTGATGAATTTCATCCAGAAGGAATAGGGCTGCATTGCCTTCAAAACTGCCATTGAGGACACTAAGGGCATGGTCAGAGGCAATTTTTTTCTTAGAATCAGGTTGGATAGGACTGTAGGATCTGTGTGTGTCAACTGGCTATCCCTAGCAGCTCAATAAACAGATTTTAAATAAACAGCCAAGAGGCTTTCTTTGTCCAAGAGCATTGTATAGTCACATCCATATGGATGAACACTCTTGCCTACCAAAACAGGGATCTTTCCTTTACTGTCTACTGGAAACAGCCCCTGGGCTGTGATATCCCTAAAACATGCCCAGTCATTGTCTGGGAGAGTTGGCACAGTCTGGGCAGTGTGCTAAAAAGCAGCTTGGATGACTGAGCCAGTCAAGCATGTGCTGCTCTCCCATCTTTTTTATCTGAGAGGCTTAACCATTGAATCTTCTGCTATCATTATCCTATTCCTCGAGGGAGTAAGCCTCAGTTAGATCCATTAGATTGGTTGTTACCAGCCCTCAGATTACAAGAGTATTCCAGCCCTTACTCCTCGGAGACAGAGATGCCTAATTAGAAGTCTGAATGAGAACTCTGAGCTGTGGAAGTTGCCTGCAAGGGATCTTCCTACTGTTTTGGTTGAAGACTCAGTACACACTCTGGGTGAGGACTACAGAGAGTATTTGCTGTATAAGAGAGGACTCCTGTCTTGGATATGATAAACAGGAAAGCATAATTCATATCACTGATAGACATCGCTATTTAGTCCAGTGAGAACAGCCATCAAAAACATCCCTTGCGAATTGATGCATTTCTGGTGGAGTATAGGGTCTGAAAAATGAGGCAGGAAGATCTGATAAGCCAAGTGATGCAGAATATGTTTGTTGTTACACAGAGAGATAAAGCAATCTGGGATTGCCTCCATGTGAGAGCAGAGATATGAAAGAGAATGGGGTTTTTTTTCGTAGTGCAGGGGGAAAAAAGTACTTGCATAGAGAAGCAAAGGCAAAAAAAAAGTCCATAATAAGTATCTGAAATGCATTGAGACTTATGAGTGATTAGCCAATTCCTATTTTACTTAAATATCTCTGTTAACTACCAGCTGTTTTTTCATAGCCATGCACTTCTAGAAATCATTACAGCTTTCCAAGATCAAATATTCTTACATTAGGTATGATCTCTACCAGAATAAAAAACAAACTCTAGATTTGGATTTCTAAACACACAAACCTGGAAATGCTCAGAACAAGATTTTAACTTGGCCTTTATGAAGGCTTCAAAGACCCCTTGGGAGTCCAGAGATATTTGACCCTGTTCTGATTTGAAAGTATATGTATGTATATGAGAGAAATGTATGATGGAATCACGAAAGAGTTTGATTCAAAGGGACTTTAAAGGTCATCTAGTTCCAAGGCCCTGTCATGGGCAGGGGCACCTTTCACCACCAGTACCTTTTGCTAAAGGGACCACCTTTGCTTTCAGAGTCAGTTCTTCTCCCCACTTTCCTCTCTGATCCAGATCTCTTTCTGTGGATAAGTAATCCTTGTAGCTAGCTATTATTATGCCAGATGATCTCTCATCTGTCTGTCAAAAGCTTGTTGGATTCACATTGCTTTTAAACTGGCTGGTATAGCTAGAAATCAAATTTGATTTGTAGAAGTCAGGTTTCAAAACTGCTGACACTAAGAAAGGTGCGAAGATTCTATGCAATTTATTGTTTTGACTTCAACATCAAATTAGAGATTATCCTCTCATATACCCTGAACAAATTACTCCAAGCAAAGACTTATTGTGATGATGCTTTATGGCTTCATTTTCTGAGAGACAGTATGCACTGAGATCTAGTTGACATTCCCTAGCTCTAGATTCACTCAACAATGATTCCCTTTTTTTAGCATAATTAATATATTTTTAAGTCTAGGGAGAAACTTGCAACTACAGCAGCTTTGACAAGTTTCAGTCACTCAGCTGCACCGTAGCAGTCGCCTTCATACATACATTCTTTCTGCTTGTATCCTGGGTTCATTGAAATTCAGTGTGACAGTTTCCCAACTTGTATACATTTTTGCAGTGTAAATGGGGTTAAAAGCACTCTCTCCAGGTTTTGTTGACTTTTTATGTAAAAGCTGATTAGGATCGAAATAACAATAATGATGATGATGGTAATAATAATAATGTAAAGGAATTTAGTACATTATGGTTTTTTATTATTTTTTTTAAAGGCAGATCTCAAAGGATGAAGCTCTGTTGACAGTCTATAGCTGAGTAGTTGAGAGTAGCTGCTTGGGCAGCTGTACTTTGGCCCGTGATTTTGTTACAGATTTTGTTATTTTGTGATCCTCTTACTTGGTGTTCTGTGTCTCTGTACAAAACTATGATTTTTGATTTGGACATGTACAGCTGTGGCTTGACTTGTGTTCAAGCTTCAAAGTTTCCAAAGACAAAACAAAAACACGTATTCACAGCTGAACTGTTACTGTATCTTATGGCACAGTCTTTCTTTGATGATTGGGTTTGTGTTGGCTGCTTAGGCTATGAAGTTCTCTTTGATCACAAGATTTAAATTCTAAACCCCTTAGGCAGTGTTAGTAAGGGCACGAGAGCAGCTAAAACCAAAGGTTCTCCTTTACCGCCTCCCCAGCTGCCACCTCTAGCATCTGGAGAAAGGCAGGCAGCGCAGTGATGGGTGCCTGAGAGGTGTACAGGGCAAAGCAGGAACCGTGAGATTCCCTGACAGTTCTGCCCCCGGCTCACAAGCTTCCCACCATGGTGCTCCTACAGGTTTATCCTAGGGAACAAGTACAGTGACAAACACGCTGTGAAACCTGAGCAGGAGCGACACAGGCTGTGGGGCTTTTGTCGATTTGCCTGGAATGCAGAGTTCACAAAGATCTGGATGCGTTTATGTTCTGATTTCTCTGTGAGCATCTGTTTAGCTTTCCAAATGACCTCTGTGTGTTCGCACAGCCCTTCTGCCTTCTCCACAGACCGAAACCACCATGTCTAATTGGGTTGTGTTTCTGTTGGGACGCAGACGTTTTGCTGGGGGTGGGGGTGCAGCTGCAGAGCCCGTTAGGTGCACTCCTACCGGCAGACTTTACAAAGCCGTTTCCCTATTTGTATGAAGCAGTCCCCATTTCCAAAGGTTTGCGTGGTTTCCTGAAGATCCGCTCTTATCCAGGGATGTAATACCTCTGTGAAAATGCAGCATGTTTAGGCTGTGATTTTCCAGGTGGAGCTACGTGAACAATCTTCTGGTGCGCTAAGCCGGGGTCGGGAATAAGACAAAACCTCAAAACAAACAACGAAGCTTTAAAAGATACAGGATTGCGTTCCGTGGGATTTGTTACCGAGGTTTTTCACGTCCGCAAGCCCCTTTTCTGAAGCTACCCAGGAGCAGGGCGCGGCGCGGGGCGGGGCGGGGCGGGCTTTGCCGGCGGTCACGAGCGGCGCGCTGACGTGCGTGTGTGTGTGTTGCAGATCTTCGAGTGGTGGTACTTCCGCAAGTACGGGACGTCCTTCATCGAGCAGGTCTCGGTGAGCCACTTGCGCCCTCTGCTGGGTGGGGTGGACAACAGCGCGCCCAGCGCGGCCAACGCCGCCAACGGCGAGGCGGACTCCAGCAGGCAGAGCGTGTCAGGTGAGCGCCGTGCCGCGCCGCGCCGTGCCAGGGGGCTCTGGCGTTTCTCCGAAGATAAAAATACAGAACTGCCGCAGTAATTGCTCACCCTGATCCCTTCTTTCCAAATCAGTCCGCTGTGTGTTGCACAGTTACCAGCACGTCTTCCTGCTTGCTCTGAGACCCGAGGGGTCGCTCTGCTCCTCTGCTGCCCTCTGTGCCTCTCTGGGCAAGGCACAGAACTGACAAATGGGGAAATGTGTGCAAAAAAGAAGATATTCAGTTAAGGAGAATGTGTTGTTAAGCAGCTGAGCTATTCCTGTCTGTACCTGGCAACTTTTGCTTCAGCGTTCCTCATGAAAGCAAGCAAGGAGAAATTAGCTTTGAACTCACGAGTTAAATAAAGTAAGCGGCCTCAAAACCCCTTGCACTCTGCTGGGTATTTCCATTTAGGGAAGACTTGGTATAGCACTGCAAAGTCAGCTGCTGTCATTCCCATCTGAGGAGAGGCCACGAATAGCAGCACTGCGTGGTGCAGGATATTAGATTTGGGTGAACTGGCAGAAAGCATGGGATGGCTTGGAAACACCTGTGTGCACTCATCAGTGCCTTCAGTCATGCTTCAGCAGCTCTGAAATAACTCTGGGCATTTTAAAGCAGAAGGCGCAGTATTTTGGCTAATGAGGCTCAGCCAAGCATCTCGACTTGCTGATATAAAGAAGCAGGCAAGGAATGGCTCTGCCTTCAGTGCACAGGCACACAGTGCTACAGATCCCTCAAACAGTGTCTGTGTGCAGCGTGTCTGTGAGAGCTGCTGTTCGTGCAGATATGGATGCTCAAAACCAGACCATTGAATAGAGAGCTCAAAAAGCAATATTCAGTAAATAGGTACAGTGTGTTATTAAGTTGTAATGGAACAGAAAAAGCAGCCTTCTGAGCCCATCGTGAATCCACGCAGGGATATTTCTTTCACTGCCAAGCAGAGTGAAGATGGCTTTTGTACTTGGTTCACCATGTTTCCCCGTGTAGATGTATGACTGCTGTAGAATGCTCCAGTAGGTGCCTTTGAGAACACTGGAAGAACAGTTGTACTGAAACCACAGTACCAGCAGATACCAAGACAAAAGCAGCAAAGAGCACATCATGCCTAACTAGCCAGGCAGGTGCCAGACCTAGGACAGAAGATGGTAATATGCCTTCTGAGCTTCCCCTTCTTGTTCCCCAGCTCCCCTACTACAGTGCTTCTGTGCTCCATTAGAGTACTGTTGTCTCAGTCTGAATAAGGTGAGGGAAAAGGATGATCAAATAGCTGTTGCCAAATACTGTTTGTTGCAGAGTAAGCCAAGCCTTTGAACTGTAGCTCTGGTTCTGAGGAGGCTGATATTAATTTAATATTTACTGTGTGTTGAAAGTTCTATTATGAAAAGCTGTCAGACTGAAGCTTGTCAAACAGCCATACCCTCTGGCTGCACAACTGAACAGCAGAATTCTGATTGAGTGCTTCTGCTGAGTAAACCAATGGAGCTTTCCAACACTGGTTACCCTGGAGTGGTTGGCTGAAAGGCACAGACGCATAATCAATGCTTTTAGTCTTGCCAAACAAATTCCCTTCCCCATGTCAGTGCTTGATGCACATTACGCAGTGCAGGGACCTGCCACCTATGCTGCCTGACTTTTTGTGTAGCTGCAAGTGGTTTTATATTATTGCAAACAGTTTCTGTAAAATACTTTCTCTCCTTGACACTCGAGCCTCATACTCAGAAGTGCCAGGTCCATAAAAGCAGAGGAAGGCTTTGCCTGTCATTTTGTCTTGTACTTTAATGGACCTGACATAACTTATGAGTGTTGTATGAAGTAGGGTACATGTCCTGCTGACTCCATATACTTCCTGAAAACTGCTGCAGTGATTTGTTTAGAAATGATGTTATGGAACCTCTTTGTGAAAAATGTGCTGGTTGACATTTGGTGGTGGAGGGCAGCCAGCAAAATGCTGCAGGTTCAGTTCTCCTGATGGGATTTTGCAGAGCAATGGATGAGGGGTCATCCACTAACATGGCAAGGCAGCACTGGGTTTCACAATGAGCCTCTTGAGTCCCTGTTGCAAATGCTGAGTTCATTCTGGCCTTAGCTTTGCTTAAGTGAATTGTCCTCATTGAAATCAAGAGAACAAATCTGGTGTTTAATTAAAGCAACAGAAGCTGTAATTAAGAGCTCAGCTTTTCAAAAGCTATAGAAGCTAATTGTATGATTTTTTTGGAGTTCTAAATGACTTTTTTTTTATCCCTTCCTAACCTGTAGCATTAAGAATTTGCAGTTATTATTATTATTTTTTTTCCCCTGAGAGACATGGATGAAATACCAAACCTTTGCAATGGACTTTTTTCTGCCAATCAACTTTAGACTACTCTGTCAACCCTGGGGTGCTTATAATTTAAGTAAGGTTAGCAGATGTTGCCATGGATAAGCTAAGGAAGGATTAAAATTGGCAGTTGTAGCTGAGGTTTTCAGTGATTTACAGTATCAACTAAGCAGTGAAGTTCTTCTATAGGAATAACAAGTCCATGGGGATGGAGTTAATTGCTGTTTTTCAGTGCAGTAACCCAGTGTGAGCCCTTTTCAGATCTGCCTTATGGGAAATGTGAGTCCCAGCACTAATCGGTGTTGTTTTCACCTGGCATTTGGTGCTTTGTTGGATGTTATTTGTCTGGAATGATGTCATTTATTAACACTGACTTGCAATGAAATTGTCATTTTAAAAGAAAAGAGCAATCAGTCAGGTTGCCTGCATCTCATGCTCTTTATTTTTTCCATTTGTGCCTATAGAAAATAAAGTGGGATTGTTAAGGCTCATTAGAAGGTAACCAATGTTTCTGATAAACCTCAAGTTTTAATTTGGGAGAGATACATTGTTGTGTGTTTCTGTTTATCACAGAATGCAAAGTCTGGCGAAATCCCTTAAATCTGTTCAGAGGAGCTGAATATAATCGGTAAGTGCTGTGATGTTACAGGTATGGATTTGGGTTAAGGACCTTAATTGAACATTTCCATTAATCTAACTCAGCAACAGAAAAACTGTTGTGGATGCTTTTGATCATGCCAGGCTCTCCTACAATTTGTAAAATGTTTCTGAAGGAAAAGGAAATTAAATTCATACACATGCATTTCATACACATGCACCTGTCAGTTCTGTAATTTTTGGTGCGTTAGAAAAACTGGAAAACCTAAGTGCAGTATGATGTGGCACATTAAGACGTGGCAGTAATTCTGTTCAGATCAGCTACAGCAAATAAACTGATGAATTATATCTAGATTTCATGTGATATTAGCGTTTAAATAGGTGTGTTAGCCACTGCCAGTAATTACCTCCCACCATCCTCGCTTATGTTCAGCTACTGTAGCTCCATCACAGGACAGTGAAATGCAGTGTGTTTGTGTTAGGAGTTTGGCTCCTTAGTGGGTTATGCCTGTCTAACAGCTAGGACTCTTCTTTCCTATATGTTTTGCTGATTGTGACTTCATTAACCAAACTGTCTCTTTGTTGGCATGCTTGCAGGTATACATGGGTAACAGGAAGAGAACCTTTGACTTACTACGATATGAATCTTTCAGCACAGGACCATCAGACATTCTTTACATGTGACACGGATCATTTACGACCTGCTGATGCTAGTAAGAGACTTTGGGAACAACCATTTTTACCAGTAGGTTAATGATTACTTTGAACTGCTGCAAGAAAAGTACAGTCAGACATCAGTTCTGTCAGGCAGATGGAGGAAGACAAAGTTTGGTCATGCCTGGAAAGCTGTTGCTGTTCTATTGCTAATATGCTAGATTTGTGCAAGACTCTATGTAGGTATAAGCTCTCAAGTTTGTGTCACTTCTATGTTCTACTTTCTTTCTGGAGTCGTTCAAGGTACCATTTAAAAGCGTAAATAAGGATTTATGTTTTCCTCCCATTTCTTGCAGCAGTTCCAAACAGATATAGCTTCATTTGCCTCCAGCTGTAGTGTAGTAAACTGAACTACATTATCCAGACTCCACTTAGCCTATGCTGACAGAAGACAGCTTACGTAAAATCCGAGTCCTGTACTTTATTCCCTGTTGTAGTTAGAAGCTGTGTAAAAAAAAAATGAGAGCACATTTAGAAACTAATTTCATATAAGCAGCTTTAGTTGTATTAAGCCTTTATTGTTAAGTCCACATGCATACTTCAGTTCAGCTTAAAATGTACAACAAATATTTTAATAATCAGAATTTGCATCTGAAGAGACAAATCTTCTTTGTCTCTTAGGACAGAAGAAATACTGACAGTTGGGCACTATATTCTGTGGATGTAATTACAAAGGAGAGCATACTGTGCTTTTTTTGACACAGGAGAAACATGAATCCTATTTTCTGAATACCATGGGCTGGTTATGAGGTCATCTTAATTAGCCTGAATGTTGTCTCATTTAACATACTCCTAAAGCAACTGCACATTAAGGAGCTGGAATAGGAACCTCAACTATGCTTGTATTCTTTTGTGCCCCATGGAATCTACCTCCCCAAGAAGGGAAAGCTGCTTGCTCACTCTGCGTGTAACAGTGCAGATGGCACAATCTGTCAGATTTTCCCTTGGAAAACAGGTGATTAAATGAAAGAATAAGGCTCAGCATTTGGTTGTATGTCTTTTGACTGATTGCTGAGGTCTTTGGAATGCTATGCGGTGAGTCAGGCTGAGAATAGTAAATTTTGTTGTTGAAATGCAATAGATTTTCCTTGTTAATGCTATAATGACTGATATGCCCCTTTTCTGCTTGGTTTATTGAATAGTAATGCAAAAAGCCTGGAGAGAGAGAAACCCCCAAGCCCGAATTTCTGCAGCACATGAAGCTTTGGAATTGAATGAGTGAGTGACAACAACATTAACATTTATTTTCTGTCATTTAAAAATCCATTTGATGATAGCTTAGGGCAGGGGTTTTACTACAGTAATTTTTAACCATGATTACTGGCCTGCCACAGGAAGTCCAGCAGTGGGAGGAAAAGAAGCACAGCTGTATGTGGTGCTAGCCACCCAGAAGATCCTTGGGCACTGATGACAATAGGGTGTTTTCACATTGATGTCAGCAGGCTTTGGATCAGGCCCTGTGTTAGCACAGAAAAGTGTTAATTATGTTGCCTCCTGGTGAGTCCATGATATGTTTATTTATGGGATGGAGACAGAGAGTTCCCTTTTGGATTTCTCAGTTGTCCTGAACAGAAGCAAGAAAGAAGGGACTCGTAAACACTTCCTGAAATATTCATTTGATAGTGTGAGGGAAAATGATGTAATATTTTGGGACTTTTGTTTTTTTCAGTCTGTTATTTATTTTCCCAATGAGAAATGTAGCATTCTCAGATCCCACAGTAAGCTCAGTGCTGTGAGGCTTTGCTGGCATGGCATACTGTACAAATGTTGCCAAAGTGCATAAAGTGGGGAGACTCCCTTAGGTTGCTGTCAGAGAGTATTGCATTGTAGAATTGCATAAACTGATGCCTTACAGATTGTCCTTCACTAGTTTCGTTAGAAGGAAAAAAATAAATGTTTGTTCCTGGGCCACAATTTAACTGAGAGAGCATATAGCTTAAAAGGCTTTAGCAAGCAGTGAGCTATTCACCTATTCCATTCCACTCACATATGGAGTCTTATTTTCACCCAGACTTGTTTTTACCACTTCCTCAATAGATGACTGTGTGAAACACAGCTAGAGGAGACAGCAGCAGCCTGATTCCATTTCTGTATAAACAAGGATCTCCTTGTATTAGCTGTTTGTATCAGAAAGAAATCAGCATGCTGTATCCCACCTAACTTCAGCTGTTAAAATTGTGTCTGTCAAATCCAAAGTAGTTACCTCAGCTCCTTGTATAGCAATGACAGAAGCTTCTCAACTCAGCTTATCATCATGCTTGTAGAGAGAGATTTACACAGGTGAAATGAATGGCTTTGTGAAGATGCTCCTTAAAGGAGGAGGAACACAGATAGTTCTAAATTAGACTGTTGAAAGATGAGTGAAGTGATTCCCCCCTGCATTTCACCTTTTCCTGTATTCCTAAAGTAAATTTCCCAGTTACCATTTTATGGGGGGTCGGGGAGGGGACCTCTACAATTACATTCATGATCTGATATTTGAAAGTGCTGTAGATCCATGGGCCAGCAGTGTGTCCTTGTGGCCAAGAGAGCCAGTGGTACTCTGGGGTGTATTAAAATGAGCATGGCCAGCAGATTGAGGGAGATGATCCTTCCCATGTACTCTGTCCTGCTGGGGCCTCATTTCGAGTACTGACAGAACAAGGGGCAACAGGTACAGGCTGTACCACAGCAGGTTCCATCTGAACATAAGAAAAAACTTCTACTGCAGGGGTGACAGAGCACAGGCACAGGCTGCGCAGAAAGGTTGTGGAGTCTCCTCTGGAGATACTGAAAATCCACCTGGATGCTTTTCTGTACAAACTACTGCAAGGAACCTGCTTTAGCAGGGGGATTGGACTTGATCTCCAGAGATCCCTTCTTTTCATATCATTGCAATAATGGAAACATTTTATGTTAAAAGAGTTCATTAAACCAGTCTTGGTCTCCAATGAGTTTTAGTCCATATTGCTTAGTGAAACAGTGTTTTACTTCCTGGGACATATTTCAGTAGGTTTACTAGGGCTGCTGCATGATACAGTATCAACATGAAAGTCATTATCTACTTGCCTGACTATTTACAAAGGGTCAGGAGAAAGATGTATCACTAAAATCTTTTGCTTCCATATTCAATACATGCTTGATTGTCTGCATATCTTTGTACAGTTTCTACTTCTTGCAACTTTCTCGTGGTTCTTCTGACATTTCTGCAGATGTGCCACTGCCTATATTCTTTTGGCTGAAGAGGAAGCAACAACTATTGTGGAAGCAGAGAAGCTGTTCAAGCAAGCTCTGAAGGCTGGAGAGGGCTGTTACAGGCGCAGTCAGCAATTGCAGCATCACGGTGCCCAGTACGAAGCCCAACACAGTAAGTTTCTGTGGAAGAAATAGCTGTTCTAAAAAGGGAGAAATTCTGGTAGTGGTAGCTTATCTTTTTTACCTCTCAGAATGATGTACTCGATATTTCATGTTGGCTACAATATGGCCATAGGCTGCATTTTTTTTCATTGTTTTCGTCTGATTCTGTTACTGAGTTGGCAGTACTCAGAATACAGATACATCGTTTCTGTCATGGCAGAAAATGCAAACCACTTACTTAACAGAAAATGGAATGCTGCATAGCCAAAAGAGATTTGATATTCGGAAGATTCTGGAGACTATGTTAGGAAGTTGAACTAAAATGCCATTAGCCATTTTGAAAACATAAGCTCATGTGAAAAGACAGTAAAGAATAGCAGAAACAGAGGTGAGTTGGTGCTTTGCCAGCTTTTTCCATCAGCAGTAATGATAAATAAGTACAGCACACTGTTGTGTGAAAGTTGATGAGATCCATTTGCCAGTGTGACATTTGAAAAGTTAGGTGCATACATTAAGAAAGGTCATGGAAACATTAACAACTGGAATAGCATAGTGCTGCAATTGATGCTTTTTTGATGTTTTTTGCAATTGATGCAACTGATGTTTTTTGCTTGTTTTTTTTTAATTTTTTATCGTTGAGATTTAGCTGCTGTAATGATATTTGCTAGATGCTTCTTAATTCTAAGAAAATGCATAAGGTTACAGTGCGAGTAAAAGAACAGAAAGATAAATAAAATGAGCAGATCTAGGTTAGTTCTAGTCTACAGTGACTACCTCAGGCAAAAATAATACCAATGAATTACGTAAGTACAAGCACTGACATATTTTGGGCATCTGTAACATTCTCAGGACTTGAATTCATAGCCTCTGGCTGTGTCACATAATTCGAAGATTGCAGATAAAAATTGTACAAAGTGAAATTGTCTGTCATCTCTGGTTTCAAAAGTGCACACAAGTCTATACGTGAAAGCCTGAGGTTTTATAAATCTTGGAGGTGGTATTTTAAACATTTGTTGGATATAAAATGATATTTAAGATGATACATTTATGATTATTTGCTTTTTTTTGGAGAAAAACAAATGAAGAGCAGCTGAGCCCTTGAAGCAGTTTTCAGGTTCTAGCAGGCTGCCCATGAAACTTTAATTCGTACACTCAATCCATTTTAAGCACAGAAAAATGACAGCAATTCTGTGAAAACTACACAAAAAGACTGTCACAATTCTCATGCTGGTGAGCAAGATGTCCAAAATATGTTAAGTTTGTGCAAGCAAATGTAAGTGTGGTATCATCTTAACTGATGTGTGTTATAATATGTGTCACTACCGTCATCATCAAGGTTGACATCCTGAACCTTCAGATGTACAGCAGAGTAAGCAGTCAGCTGAGTCTCATAATTAAGAATGCTGCCATAGAGTAAGAAGGGCTGAAGGCTGACTGCCGGCTCTGACTGTTGCTTGGTAGAGGGTCTAGATTGTCCCACTCCTCTCTGCCTTCCTCTGGTAATTTCAGCGTGCACCCTCAGGAGTTAGAGAAACTCCATCTACAGAATGTGCCTTACACACAAGGACTTCAGGTAGAAATCTTCTGATTATATGCTGCATTTACATGGTTTTAAAAGATGAAGACCTCAGGTTTCTTTAGGGAAGAAGGACCATGGGCACACCATGTCTGTAAGGAGACCACAGTTCCTCTCCCTCTTTTGCAGTTACTCCTTGGTTCTGAAGTCTGTTCCATTTTTAATCCTTCAGGCTGACATTGGGATGAAAAGTGGGAGAGAAGATCACTGTAACAACAATACATTGCTCAATTTTTCTGTATGTTAAGGTGTTCTGTCGTTCGTTCAGTGACAGGCATGAATTTTAAGTGTGGATAATGACTTTGGGCAGTCAGTTCAATCTCTTCCAAAAGATTCCAGTTATAGAAGGTGAAGACAATTTTGTTTAAGGTGGCCCATACTAGTCACCCTAAATAATTAGTCACCTCAGAAAATGGACTGAAAGGTTATCTTGATTTCATAGTAAATAAATGCCTTTTGACCGTTTTTTCTGAAATGTCTGGAAAGGAGCTTGGCCTGAAATTTATACCTCTTAGTTACACTACATAAACATGTTGAAACAGATGTAACTAATAAATTGTTTATTAAATAGAGAAGAAACAATTCGGAGATAAGAAATTACATAATATAAAATACAGCTAATGAAATTCCTTCCCTCCCTTATTTTTGTTCTAAAGTCAGACCTTTCAGCCTGCTGTTGGATCTGTCTGAAAATCATAATCACAGCTTTAAAACAGTTTGTAGGTACTTGGAATGTTTTCAGCGCACATCTTGTTCTTATTATGAAAGGCTTGAAAATGTTAGGAACAGAGCAATCTTTACAGACTGCATACGTGAAGATAATTTGTAGCAAGTGTCTTATATTTCCTTGATATGGTAATTTTATAGATGATTGCCTGTCCACACATTTTCTGTTGGTCCAGAAGTATGTTAAAAGTTCACGTTGGGATTGTGGAGAGAGAATGAGAAACCAAGGATCAGTGAAAGAGTGAGGGTAATTCTAGAGATTAATTACTGCAGCTGTTTCGTTTCTGTCTTGGTCGGGGCACCTTCCAGCACACAGGATTGTTATGTCTGAGAGATGCAAATTTGCCATCCATAGCTGTGAGGAACTTGAAGGTGGTGGCAAGGTAACAAGTAAAGGCTCAACAAAAGGAAGGTTCAGGTGTATTTGTAACCAAAAAGTAAGATAACTGTTAGAATAAAGCTGAGGAATTAGTTTACTGAATCTCCTATTAACACGTGTGCAACTTAACTTACAAAAACATAAGGAAAGACATACTGGAGTTTTCATGGATACTGCTGTTTAAACCAAATATGTGAACTGGTAAGTAATTGGATGCTGTCTGTATAACTGCACATTTTTGTGTCAGTGTTAACTTCATAGGGGTTCCACTCCCCTGAGCATTACTTGATGGTCTGTATCCTACAGAGCTCTCCATGCCTTCAGATCAGCTTATATTTCACAGGTGTAAGGCCAACATATGGGTCCTTATTTGTACCACTGTATATCCAGAGTAATTCCTCTGGTTTTAGTGATATCATCTCTAAGTCAGCTGAATTTGTTGAGAGTTTATTGGAATTATTGTGAAAGCACTGATGATAGTGAATAACAAAAATTATATAGAAAACTTTCTGTTGGAATATTAAAGAACTTCTTTTTTTAAAAAAAGTCTTTTTTTAATCTTAATTATGTTTCTTTTTCTGCAGGAAGGGACACTAATGTGTTAGTTTATATTAAGAGAAGGCTGGCAATGTGTGCAAGAAAGCTGGGAAGGACCAGAGAAGCAGTGAAAATGATGAGAGATGTGAGTTTGTATTTTATTTGCTTTTGATACATAGGTAATAAATAGTAGCACAGAAATGATATATACCAGTTACAAATTAATATCTGCTCTTAAATCGTGCAGTTGTACTGACAGTCATTTTGTATGTGTAATGTACATAAAGACTAAGTTAACACATCCCTTCTAAGGTTGCAAAAGGAGCACTAAAAAATCACAGAATTCCAGATGGATGGTTGTATTTCCCATCCTGGTATGTTTGCGTTAGAGTGCTGCCTTTGGTTATTCAGTCATGAAGTTACATAGCTTCTTTTTCAGAAGACTTCCTCTGTGACACGTAGTGAGTTTGGATTTGCAAAGCTGCATTTTGGCTCCTTTCCTTCTTTGTGACACTGCTGAGAACTGCAGACAGTGTTATTTATTCATGCAAAACTTATTACCGAGACGTCAAAAGAAAGTTATTAATCTGTAGTGAAATAATTTCCCTCTGAGATGGGGGATGATTTTATTCAGTATTGGTAGGCTACAAATTTGAAACATCAAACAGTAGCAAGCAGGGGAGTGGCAGTAAGTGCATCAGTCCCCATGAGGCTCTGTATAAGTTTCAAGTGCATAAAAGGCTGAACTTTAGAGATAGCTGTGCATGCCTGGCACTACTTTGATGGAGATCTCCTGCACGCAGGTGAGTAACACGTAGTTTGAGGCAGTGACTTACCACACCCAAGGCAGCAAGTCTGTGTCTCGGTGATATTTCTGAAAACATTGAACAGAGTTCATCATGGTGCTAGTCCTCATCCTAAATAATCTACCAAATGGCAAGTGGGGAGCAATTTTGTTTCCTGTCTCTGGTTGAGGTTTTTCAGGCATACAACTCTTGCTTCTCAGAATCACTAGGCTGACAGATAGAGGTGTTGAAAAAGGACTTGTCGAAACCCAGCCATTGTACAGCTATGAGTGTGAGAAAGAGGAACAAGGAGGAAAAGGTCTGTTTTTCCAGCCCCGTAGTCAACAAAGTCAGCTGGGAGAAAAAATTTTCAGTCCAGCCAGCTCCACTGATTATTTATCAATTTCATTACACAGGCACACCGGGACAAACACTGAAATGCTGGTGGAAACATGGAAATTCTAAGTTCTGGCACTAATATACAAGAAAGATACAATTTTGAATTTCACGTTCAAATGTCGCACATCATAACTATGGCAACTTGTGGAGCTTGATGTGAGCTGCTGAATGTGTCTTATGATTTGTAGATAGGGCTGTGCAGAACAGATCTTCCATGGGCCTTTCCTCAGTTGATGTCAATACATCATTTGTTAGACGTTTGGAGGTCTGAAGACCCCTTCCTCTGTAAAAGCATCATCCTAAACAAAAGGGCTGGATGCAAGACAGCAGAGGCAGAAAGACAGAGTTTCAAATTTCTAGAGCTTTAACACAGATGAATGCATTCTGTATTTTTCCACATGCAGACACTTAGCCAAATCCTCCAAACTGAATTTAGATGCCTCTAGAGCTCTTTGTTGTGAGTGAGCAGAGCTGAGAATTAGCAGGTCCCTAGATGAAATATAAAAGCAACTGTACCTCTAGGTCACAACTCCAACACATTAAGAGCAAGAGTAGCATCAAGTCAGCTTTGCAGATGCTTTTCTTGGACTGACATGGAGCTATTTATTTCTGATGAATGCACACCACTATTTATTCATGGATGACATAAATAATATATTTATGAGGAAGTTTGAACATGAATGTGTCATTGATGGTTTCTGTGTGATTGATGAGGGAGGAGATGAATTTATTCACTCTGAAAAGCACATGAAGAATATGTTGGCTGGGGACTGCTGAGTCTAGCATCATGGAACGGAGGGTGGAGGCCTTGTTTGTGTTTGAAAGATTGAAAACAGATTTCTCAAGGCATGGAACATGATGGAAATGAAGTGTTAAGAGGTTCATGACACCATCTGGGAAATATGATTGGGATGTAGTGAGTCTTTACCACTTTGAAAAAATAAAATATTTGAGAGTGTTTAATTCATGGCAAATACAAGGCCATCTTGAGGAAATTACTGATGGATTACACTGTCTTACTTCAATTTTATGTAAGAAAGAGAGATCCTGCTTAAAACACCTTAATGAAAAGAAAATGAGTTGCTGGTGACTTTAATAAGATTTTGGGTAATTGGTTTTATTACACTGTCAATAGAAAATCATATTATTTAGTACTTACTGAGGATATTTTAATTATTTCTTCTATTGTTGAAACCAAATAGGCATCTGTCACTTCTGTGATTGATGTTGAGATTGCATCATTTTGTTGATTTTGCTGCTCTGATTTCATTCACTTAGTGCAGTAGAATTAATCAGAATGACTAACCTGTAATTTTCATGGAAACTTGTCATTTAAGTACACATAGGTGTTGGTTTTGCTTATATGTCTGATGATAACTATTTACTATGTTTCACTATAGAAACCAGCAGCTGTCACTATTTGTATATATTGAGTTAACTTGTGAGCTCATTTTGATTAGCGTGTTGTTGGAATAGCTCCAGCCTAGTCACCAGAGTTGTTCCAGTTTTATTCCTCTTTATATAGAGCATGATATGGTTTGTGAGGGAACCAGCTCTCTTTTACCATCCCAGAGGAAAAAAATCTTCAACACAACAGTGCTGGTTGTTTCATTTGTTAGGCTGATTGTGTTAGGAGGATTTAAACTAGCATGTTCCAAACAATGCTGGAAAATTTGGTATGTGCAGAGGAGAAAGGCTGTAGTGGTGACTGTGGGAAATCTTCAGTATTTCTAATCTTTACTTGGGGATGTTACTGCTTTCAATAAGAAATAAGACAAGAAACTAGGTGCTCAGGAGCAAGGATTGCTTTTTGCTGTCTGCTGATTCCCTCATCTTTACAGAAGAAAACTATGCTGGGTGTACATTTTATGTTTTCATTGATTGGAAGCCAAGATGTGTGGAGGGTATGCAAAGGCTCTTGCTGTTCTTTGGCAGGCACTGGAGCAGTAGTTGTCTGTGCTATTGAATTTCCCTTGAGTGAGACACTGAGTATCCAGGTGGAAGCACACAGTGCAAGAAACTGAACTGTCAAATTAGTTCTAGCTTCGTAGGATTGTTCTGGAGAAGGTTTGGGCTGTGGAACAAGCTTTCATTGAAGGGTGATGAGTGTTTACAAAAGAGAAGGGAGGCAGGCAGAAGGCGTGCTAATGAATGGAGTGAGCAGGTCTCAATCATTTTCTTTTTTAGAGAGATGAAACAAACCTGTTCTCCTCAAGATGTTTTTATCTCCTACACTGTGGCCCTGCAATTCCCTGGAAGCTGCTCTGTAGTCTTAGCAAGTATATGTTTCCAGGCAGTAGTGTAGTTGCTGCTTGCTACATCCTTTGCAGCTTTGTTTAGCCACAAGTAGCATTTAGGAAGACACTCTCCAGGTCTTTCCTCAGCACTGGAGGCTAGAAAACCAAACACTCTTTGGGGGTCAGAAATTACACTTCATTTTATTTCTGGCATCAGTCCTGTCTGCTGAGAAATAGCTCTTACTATTATGGACCTAGCTCTGAGAATCTTGCTAGAGATATTTCACTTGGGTATGTTTGTACGTTTGTCTCAGTTGTTGGTTACAACTGCAGCATCTAAAATGCATATTTTGTGACACAAAGCACAGCAAGGAACTATCAGTGCCAGTGCAGCTTGCACTGTTAGAGAGCTGAGTGCTTATCGGTGTGCTGCATGATAACTTCTTTAAAGACTTGTGCAGCCCTGAACTTTTCAGGTGTTTTAAAAGGTATTGTCACATGGAGACATCAACAGGGTACTCAACTGTGCTGAGTCAACTCTGATGATACGGGTAGCTTGGGCTTTTATCTTTTTATGACCAACAGCATTAGTGGTTTTTGCTGGTGTGCCAGTTCTGTAAATCTAGCATGCTTCCTTGGCAACCTCTTGTATTTGACTTTGAATGCTCTTTTCTATTCAACATTCTCTTGAATTCTGTATTTCTGTGAGCGTTGCTGATTGCTCTCGGGCAAGGGGAGCACAGAACCAGAACAGTGTTCTGCACCGTGTATTGTCAAGCTTTGTGAAAGAAAAGAATCCTGACTGCTAATAAAGATGTTATGATCCCTAGCAACTTAACAATGTAACTTCTGCAGCTGCTTGCATCCGTGCCTACTGTCTGTCCCAAATTCTTCTGTGCTTTAGGCAAGGATTAGTGAGTCAGTCTTTGGCATGTGTTACACGGGTCAGGCAAAGCAAGCTACTTTGCCTTGAATGCAATGCTAACTTTATTAAAACCTGTAGCATTTGTTCAAAGTGTCATTTATTAAAAGTGGAAGCAAAAATTCTTCTGAGTTCAAGAGACTGAGAGCTACCTTTTACATTTTGGATAAGCTCTACTCCTGTGAATCATGACATTTGCCAGTCTCCACTACATAAGAGTGTCTTCAGTTAATTCTTGTTCAGACACAGAAATTCTGCAATAACAGTAGAATATCCTTCATTCGAATGGACTCTAAAGTAAAACAGAGATGCCTGGGATTGCCCTAATGCTGTTTATCCATTCATTTTACCTGCATGTGAGTCAGACCCCTCACTTTCTGTCGGCAGTGATCCTATGCAAAACCCTCAAACCTAGAAATTTGGTGACTATCACTTAAGCCTGATAACAATGCTTTTCATATAAACTGTGTTTCAAATTGTTACAGCTGGGCAACTACAATAAGAGATGGACTTTTTAGCATGTGTCGAAAATACGCATTTTTCCAGCAGAACATTTGACCTTTCTCACAATATTTGTCTGATACACTTAAGGGCATCTTGCACCCAAATGGAATGAAATGCCTGTGTGTTGAGCATATGTCCCGTAGAGCAGAATACCTGTTTCCTCTGCTAAGGCCATACTGCAGTGTCAGTTTTTTCTGACAGTTTGTTGAAATGTGTCTTCATCTTGCTGAGCATATAGTTTGCATTATCAAGCCCTGTGTGGAACAGGCAACCACATTTGATTTTTCATCATATGTAA